GAAAGATTAGAAAGTGGGTAGAATTAGATGAAGGATATAGGTGGGATAAATAGGTCACTTATAATGGCGAATATAATATGCAAGGTATGAAGATTGGTAAATGGGATACTATGTATTGTGATTGGGGAGTAAAGGAATATAAATAAATGTAAATATTGTTTAATTAGAAGGAAAATAGTGGTGGTGGATCATATGATTAAGATGGAAATTAGATAAAAATTGGAAAGTGGGTAGAATTAGATGAAGGGTTTTGTCTTTATAAATAAGTAACATATAATGGTGAATATAATATGCAAGGTATGAAGATTGGTATGTGGGATAGTATGAATTGTTCTTATCGAGAGAAGGAATATAAATTAATGTAAATATTATTAAAGTATAAGAAATTTAGTGGTGGTGGATCATATCATTAAGATGGAAATTAGATAAAGATTGGGAAGTGGGTAGAATTAGATGAAGGATTTAAGTGTTAAAAATATGTCACCTATAATGGTGAATATAATATGCAAGGTATGAAGATTGGTAGATGGGATACTATGTATTGTGCGAATCAAGAGAACGAATATAAATAAATGTAAATATAATTTTAGTATAAGGAAAATAGCGGTGGTGGATCATATGATTAAGATGAAAATTAGAAAAAGATTGGAAAGTGGGAAGAATTAGATGAAGGTTTTGATTGTGATAAATAAGTCACTTATAAAGGTGAATATAATATGCAAGGTATGAAGATTGGTAGATGGGATACTATGTATTGTGCGAATCAAGAGAACGAATATAAATAAATGTAAATATAATTTTAGTATAAGGAAAATAGCGGTGGTGGATCATATGATTAAGATGAAAATTAGAAAAAGATTGGAAAGTGGGAAGAATTAGATGAAGGTTTTGATTGTGATAAATAAGTCACTTATAAAGGCGAATATAATATGCAAGGTATGAAGATTGGTAGATGGGATACTATGTATTGTGCGAATCAAGAGAACGAATATAAATAAATGTAAATATAATTTTAGTATAAGGAAAATAGCGGTGGTGGATCATATGATTAAGATGAAAATTAGAAAAAGATTGGAAAGTGGGAAGAATTAGATGAAGGTTTTGATTGTGATAAATAAGTCACTTATAAAGGCGAATATAATATGCAAGGTATGAAGATTGGTA